TAGTACTGTTTTGAATTTTAGCTCTGTTTGAATCTTTGCGAAGTTGATTAGATAGAAGATATATCGTATCCCTTCATATGAGTCAAGCTTTGCAAGGTCTAGATTTAATAGAACATCTAGAGATAATTTTGTTTATAGTTTCATAAAAATTTGGTCTCAGTTCTTTTTATTTGTGATACAGATATTGTGTTGTCTCTTGTACGATTCTAGTGTATTATGCATGAGTGATTCAAACTTTAACTGGTATGCAGGACGAGTGGCTGCAACTCGAATAAAAGATCGGAAAAAAGCTATATCACGGTATTCAAATTTCTTTTGAATAGCATGTGGAATATTGATGTTTATTGGCAAGATAGCTAACTTGTACTTGATTAGTTCTTTCATAGAATCTACTGTTATGAAAGAGTTAACGATTCTGTCTAGTGACCAAATTTGTGTGTCATATATATTGAGTTGTTTTTTTCTAATATTGTATAGACCTTCTCTAAATTGTTGCATTTATACATTCACGTAGTCAGTTCTACTATATGTTGTTGCTTGTCTGTGTAAGCCACGTGAGGTAATTTGACTATATAGAGGGCGAGGATTTTTGATATCTTCGATGGTATTAACTGAGCTAGTTTCTGACATGTGGTCATCTTGTTCATTACATGAAGATCTACTTCCTTTTTCAGTAGTTTGGGTTAGCTGATCCTCTATAGGCAACTTAAATATCTCTGTATTTGGCGTAGGAAAATTTGTACAAGTTGTTTTTCCTTTTTCAGTTGTTGTTAGTTGTGGCTGTTCCCAATTTGTATTTGTTGTGCTATAGCTTTCAGGTGGTATGACTGTGTTGGAATTTTCAGGGAGGGAGGCATCTCCACTTTTTTGTATTAGTATTTGGTCTTCGGTTTGCATTTCATCTTGGGTTTCGTCAACTATTATATCTGAGGTTTTCTTTCTCTTCTTACTACTTTGTAACTGTTTTTGGGATATATTAATTGTATCTACTACATCTGTTGACTTGGAAGGGATAATAGAGTAGGAGAACTTCTTGTTGTGTTGTTTTGTTGCTGAACTAGTTGGCAACAAGCTTGTAGGTAGTTTTGGTGTAGCGAGGACTTTGTCGTGTATTCTCTTAATGTTTGCCTTGTTGTATGTTTATTAGAGTTATACTATGTTAGATAATAGTTATTAGTTAGTAGTCATATCTAATATCTTTAGTCAGGATTTTGTTGTTTTTTATTTTTTTTATAAAATTCAGGGGCGCGGGAAAGAGTTACAAGTTTTTATTTTTTGTTTTGCATTAAAACTTACACATTAATAAATTGTTATAAAATATTTTTTAAATTAATATTAGAACTATTTATAAGTACTATATCTAAAGCTTTTTTATAGAGTCTAAGACTACAACTATATAAAACCTTTTTAATTCTAATTTTACAATACTTCTAATATCAATATCTTGTTCACGAATCTTTTCTAATACTTGAAACATACTAGTTGAAATTAGTTCATTCTTATTTTGTACTACCTGAACTAATAATCTTTGAATTTTATCAATTGTTACAAGATCTTCTTCAGAATACCAATGTGAAGAAATCAACTTAATATTAAAAAGTACTTTTTTTGAATGAATCATAATAGTAAAAAAATATCAGCAACTGAATCTAATATATATTAAATATAAACATATATAATAGTGTATATAATCTTCAAGTTACAAAACAAATTATGAATAATTTGTTATACTTTGAATATATTTAACTTTTCAAACTTTATTTACACCAATTTCACAATAATCTTCTCAAACTATGTCTAATAAAATTTGTAGTTTTTTATAGTCATCTTCTATAAATCCTATATTATTATTATTTGACATTAGCAAAATTAAAAGTACTAATTATTTTAAAAGAATTTATGAATTGTAAAAAAACTATAATATTATATAAGATACAGATCTGATAATCTTAGTGTAGTAATTAGGTTGCCAGACTGCTATGCAAGAGGTCTGGAGTTCAAATCCTACTGTCAACGAATTTGAATAATTACCCAGACCTTTGTACTCAACTTACAGTAAACTCTGCTCATTTCTAGAGGTTACAACCCTGTAAATCACATTGTACTAATATCAATTAAACATTAGAAATATAACGCAATGTTCGAGTTATGTTGCATGAATAAATCTTGATAGGATCTATGAGCAGGGGACTTGCATAGTAAAAATCTCAAGTTTGGTAAAATAGTACAGATTTTGATAGTTAAGCTAGTTAATGCTTGATCCTATAAAAAATCTAAGTATAAAAGATATGAGATCAATAGGTACGAATAAGTCTGCTATATAATGTAACCTAGTGCCTTATATTAGTAGTAACACTAACTTGGCTTGGCAGCTAACTAGATTAGGAAGATCTACCTCATAAAACATCTAGCTGAAACTTGAAGGACTATATCTGGTGGATGGCTATAGCAGAAACTAGGTTCATATAAACATCAACAAGAATCTAAGCTAGATGAATTTGTGAAATAGGTATATAACTACTCTGGTAGGAATTACTTCCAAAGTTAGCTAGAGCTTTGCAGCTCATAATATATTAGGCAATATATACTTCAAAGAAGACCTAAGCTGTGCAGTAAATAGATTTGCATGTAAGTTAACTGGTATAAGTGGTCAGATATAGTGGTGATGTTAGTTTGGAATAGAGGAAAAGAGTTAATAATCAGAGTGTTTAAATAGGTAACTTATAAGTAGATTGTAGATATAGCAGTATAGTATAGAACTAACAACAACTGAAAAAGGAAAAACAACTTGTACAAATTTTCTCACGACAAATACAGAGATATCTAAGTTGCCCATAGAGGATCAGTTAACCCAAACTACTGAAAAAGGAAGTAGATCTTCATGTAACGAACAAGATGACTGTATGTCAGAAACTAGCTCAGTTAATACCATCGAAGATATCAAAAATCCTCGCCCTTTATATAGTCAAATTACCTCACGTGGCTTATACAGACAAGCAACAACATATAGTAGAACTGACTATATGAATGTATGGATGTAACAATTTAGAGAAGGTCTATACGATATTAGGAAAAAACAACTAAATATATACGACGCACAAATTTGGTCACTAGACAGAATTGTTAACTCTTTCACAACAGCAGATTCTATGAAAGAACTAATCAAGTACAAGCTAGCTATCTTGCCAACAAACATCAATATTCTACATGCTATTCAAAAGAAATTTGAATACCATTATATAGCTTTTTTCTGATCTTTTACTTGAGTTGCAGCTGCTCATCCTACACACCAGTTAGAGTTTGAATCACTCATGCATAATGCACTAGAATCGTACAAGAGGCAACACAATATCTGTATCACAAATAAAAAGAACCGAGACAAAATTTTTATGAAACTATGAACAAAATTATCTCTAGATGCTCTATTAAACCTAGACCTTGTAAAGCTTGACTCACATGAAGAGACACGATATATCTTCTATCTAATCAACTTCGCAAAGATTCAAACAGAGCTAAAATTCGAAACAGTACTAGGTATAATTAAAGCAGAGAAAGACCTTCTCCTTTTATCATTACCATCTATTCCGAATCTCATAGATAGTAAAATCTGTGAAGCTATTCCTTTTATACTCCCAAATAAAGATAAAAAACAAGCAGGCACAATTACAAGAGTGCTAAGGCTTGCCTTCACTTTTACTCGTATTCCAGATTCATACTTTGATGATGACTATCTACTACTCCCAAACTCACCATCTATGCTTACTGAATCACTGAGAGAACTTTTTCCAATTACTTCATTCGCAGAACTGAAATCTCTCTCAAAGTATAAAGAAAAGTTACAGGCAACTTATATTGTATATCGCCTCCCAGAAACATACTTTGACTTGCTAGCTCCTAAACAACAACTCCTCTGTACTCCACAGAAACTTACTCCACATTTGAGAGAAATATTCCCTTTCTTACCAAGAAATGATGAAGATTTCAAAGAGCATGTACATCTTCTAAAAGAAAGTTACACTTTTACTAGATTACCAAATGACTATATCATATAAAGACATCGTCTACCTAACGATCCCAACAAATTACCTTTGGAGAATAAATACATATTCCTAATAGAAGATAAAGCAACTGCTTGTGTATTCATTAAGGAGATTCCCTCAACATATCAAATACCTGCAGCATTCACTTTGAGCTATATGACAGTGAATCTTACAGATCTACCTGACCTCCCTGAAGAACATACAGAAGTTGTCAAAGTCAACTTAACTATTCCTATTTCCACACCTAGACAACTCAGCATCGCAGTTAAAGATCTCAGAAAATATTATTACTTCAAAAAGATTCCCGAAAACTGGATTCAAATTGAAAATGTAAACAGCATCTCTACTGAAGGCCTTTAGAGAATACCAAATACAATAGAGCAACTTGAAACAATTACCAAACAAATAAAAGAGCTCTCACACCTCAACTTCCCA